TCAAGGGTACAGAGAATTTAAGAACTGAAAATAAAGTTTCAGCAAGACATTTCAGTTCACAGTTACTGTCTGTCATATCACACACAAAGTGCCGACCTACACGTAACAACAGAAGTTACCTACAACCGTAACACATCAGAATTGGAAGAGAAGCAGATAGCTGAAGGAGATGAAGAGCAACAGAATAACAAGAATCTAATTCCCTCCCTCCCTCCCCAAGAAGAAAAAAAAAAAAACAATCTATCAGTGGGATGAACTGCAGGCAACTTGGCCTTTGGATCCTTAAAGATACACTTCCCCAGAAACTCTACATATTTCTCAGAGGAAAGCAGAAGTCACACTTGTTTAAAAAAAAAAAAACCAACATATATAAGTCTCAACAACCACCAAAGGCAACAACACATCACTAGACAGTCAGGTAAGAAAAATGCAGGTGCCAGTATCCGTTTAAAGCTTTTATTAAAAAAGACCCAGAATTCACAAGTCTACAAGGAAAAATAAACCAACTTGCATCAAGCATTCTCAGAGCTGATAGTGTTTGGTTCTCAAAGAGAGCACAGAAAGCACCAATAAAAGTTATCGCAGGCCAGTAGACTACTCCCCTGCGGCAGTAAGCTTGGCACAGTTCACAACCTGCTACTTTATCTTCCTAGATTGTTCTTCAGAGTACAGAACTGCTAACCAAAACAGGCCTGGCTTAGTCGTTCAGGAAGATGATCCTAGTCTTTCGGGAACGTGAAAGAAATCTCCACTGAAAAGTATCTTTAAAAAAACCCCAAACCTTAAGAATGTGAGTTCCAGAAGGTCTGCTGTAGGCCAAAAAAAAAAAAAAAATTACAGGTATAATGCAACATTTTTCTTATCACAAATCACTTTCCCTGCAGTCAAGCAGTTGTCCAAAGGCTCTTCAGCATTTTGTGGCACACAAGGGCTCCTTGAAGCCAGCCAAGGAAAGCTCACTCACCCCTGTGCACCTTCCCCTCTCCCTGTACAGCAGCTCTTCGTTTGGTGCACCTAGGGCTCCAGAAAGCCAGATACTCTTGCCTTTTAAAGTAAGATTGGCTTAGTTTAGAAACAGTTCGTCCAATTGCCTGAGTAAAATACTTACATAAGCAAGTTTTGTTACATGAGTAACAAAAATCAAACACTCTGCAGGAGTTACTAGGAACCAGCTATTCAGCAACAAGCCTTTCACTGAAGGTAGGGGAAAGCGCAAAGTTTCATTATGAAATTGAACAACGCTTTCCCCACTGAAAGCCAAACTTCGGTTCTCGCCTTTAACGCTTTTCATAGTTTGTAGTCACAACCTCTTAAAAACACATCAATTTTCACATTAATCAGGACTTACATGAGGTTTATTGCTAAGCCTGTGATCTAGTATTAAATTCCAGGGCTAGCACTTTTTGAACTGTAACACTGAAATTGTATAGTTTGGTTTCCTCCAAAATATTTGCTTGGGCCAAAAGAAAAAGGTAGTCTTTCCTCACATTTTTCTGTAAGAAAAAATGAAACAGACCATTTCCACCATGGTAACAAAGTTGTCCAGCTTGAGAGACCCCATACCTACATCAATGCTCATTCACAGCAATTTGATCATTGAAACAAAGCTTTCACATTTCAGACATCGTTGTGTAGTGAGATCAAGTCTTAACTATTGACTCGAGCTACTCACTGAGTAGTTTAGAGAAAAGGGTGTACATTGCTCATGGGTTCAAATAAACAGCCAGGTGGTTCTTCATCGGTATCTGTGTTATTTACGCACGGTGCGGAGGGGGAGCTTAAGCCAGGTATTTTCAAAATAGGATCTATACTTGCAGAAAAGCACGGTGCATCACTCTGCTTTAGCCGTGGTAGTTCTCAGTACTGGAAACAAAGTTCTGTGTACCAGGAACTTCAATGCATTTCTGCTTTTGCAAGTGGGGCAAGATGCTATTTCAACACGCTTCTGTGTACCATTGTTGATAAATAGGAAGAGTAACTATCTGGTAGCTGCAAAAAAAAAAAAATTTTAAAAAAATCATGCATCATAATAAGCCTGCTCCTCAATTTATTTGGTCCTCCAGCCATTGATTCATTTTCTTCATCAGATTTTTAATTACCATCGGTGAGACTTCATGTCTGAGAACAAGTGTACTTTTAGCATTTTAAACAGACCTTGATTTGCTGGCTATTTGAAACAATTAGCCAAGTCCTTAAAAATAAACATCTCATTGTTCTAGTCTTCACTATTAAAACCCTTACTTTATCATCAATACCTGAGCGCCTAGTTTGGAGAGGTATTTATTCCTTAAACTAAAGTCATCAGCTTTTGGCCGTAATTTAGCCAAGTCATCTTCATTTTGACGTCTGAGTCTCTCTTGTTCTTCCACTCTGGAAAAGAAAATTGGTTTCAGATATTTGCACTGCGGAGTGCAAACCCAAGCAACCTTACCCTGTGTATGCAGTTCTACTTTTAATAACTAGGAAAAAACTTGTAATGTTTATAGATGCATACTGGAGCTCAGATTACAAGAGACTAAGAGATGCGTATGGATTACTCTAATTCAGTGTAAAGAAAGAGAGAGGCTGTTTTCTGCAGTTTCCTTTTATTTAGATTGCAAGAATTCAGCAGAAAGATAAACCTTTTGGTTTTCACAGATTACAACATGCTCAGTGAGCTTTTCTAACAATTTTTACTATCTCTTTATTAAACAAGCTTTCACTCCTTAAAATAAAGATTAGAATACAAAAAGAATAGATCATCAAAAAAGCAAATAAAAGACTGCTCAGCAGCCTTCAGCATTAATAGCAGTCTCCTACAAGAGTCAGTATTTGATCAGAGCACTGTTGCTCATTTTCCGTGTAAGTCTTTAAGAGAAACAGGACCGAACAGAGCTCTAAATACACTCAGCTTGAGACAGTGGTTTGCATTAGGACAGTGACAAAGATAGTAACAGAGATCCTTTTCTAAGCTCTGTAAGGCAACGGGCCTCGTTACAGAACGTAAAATGCCATGTTAAGAAGTCTCCACCCCCACCAAAATGGTAGTGCTGCAGATAGAAGACACTTTATACTAATCTTTATCTTAGGATGAACAGCTTTGTCTTGGGTTGCAGAGTACCCTCTCCAATGAGGGAGCTTAAGCACAGTGTAAAACACCGTAAACTCATTCTGTTCAAATTAAGAGATGATTCGGCATTAGTTCAAACCGGTTACAAAGCATAAAATCTAGCCATTTGCTGTAAAATCCCCAAAGTGTTAGTTTCTTTTCCAAAGAACTACTGTCCAGTGCTGACCACCAAACTAAACAACACTAATTCTTCAAGTTGACATGATGCTGATCAAATGCTCCCCACTTCTGGATGGTATTTGCTATTCAAATTTCTTTTCTGCAAAAAACATTGTAATAAAAATTACTGAAAATATTGTTCTAAGACACTATACCCCACAGCATACACTAACACAAAGCCATCTTTCACAGAAAACATTGGAAGCGTTACACACGACCCACATGGGCCAGGCAGATTGAAAAGCGGCTCTATTTGGACACAGAATTCCTTTGCTCCTGGGTTCAAGGGTTGGGGGTTTTTTTTGTTGTTGCATTTGTATTAAAAACTGGCTGTGACCTTTTGGCTCAAAAATGATACTCATCACAACCAAGCTAGCATGCTCACCAGGTCTGATGAGGTTTTCGTTTCCCTGAGCTTTCCTCAAGACTGATGAGCAAAAAGCCCACAAATTAGGACAAGAAACAAAACCATGTTAAACCCCACAAGTCACCAGGCTAGACCTTGTTGACAGGTGTTTGGGGTTTTTTTCGAGACTAACTTAAGTATCATCGTATGGACAGTTACACGGTCCAGTTTTAGAAAAGTCCATTTATAAGAGATGTCTTGTTAGCGAAGTATTTATCTGCAACAAACTTAGATATAAGCTGTGAGATGGATAATATCTGCAGGTGAAATGTAGTTACCTATTAAAAAGTAAAGAATTCCGACAACATTACAGGCAAATGAACTTCAAGATCTGAAGAGGCTCGCTGAGCTGAATTAGGTCAGAAGAGAAAGCATTTCAAAGGAAAAAATTCTGTGTTGTTCACATACAAGCAGCTTGAACTCTACAGATGTTACTTGAAAGCTGCGACTTGCTGCATATTGACTTACTCTTCCATGTGACAAATGTTAAACTACAACTAGAGTCATGAAACGCATATACTGTGCCCTCTCCAACAGTTATCATCATCTCACCAAAACAAATTCAGATCAGAGGAGCAGAACCTCAGATTTCTTAGACTTGTTCTACCCTTCAAATTAAACATTTGCTTTAAATATAAAAAAAAAAAAGCATTAACCAAGACTGCATCCCCATTGACATTACATTCTCCAAGGCACATATTTTCATTCCTCACAGCACTAATTAGAACTAGGAAAAGGTAACACAATTTTCGGGTGCTGAGACACTACTAGAAAAAGCGTCTTCAACAAGGTCATCAGAGCAAACTAAGCTGCCCAAACTCAGTTTGATGGATAGACTTTTATGTCTACATAAAAACAAAACAAACCACAGTTCTTTTTCTAAACAGTTAAGTAGATAATGGAGAAGCTGGAGTGGAAGGCTCTTTTCTTCTGCCTTAAGGTGACATCTCTTAATGGACTTTGCCGTACAATGCTTTTTCTCTCCTCTTCCCCCAATACAAGGCAATTATTTTGAAAGTTGTAGGACTAACCCAGTGTCTGGTTCCCTTGTACAGCATTCCATATCCATGGAGAGCTTTACCCCTCATTTAGCGTCCTTGGATAGCAAACAAAAAAGCAAGTAAACTTTCTATTGTGCAGGCGGGATAAATCCAGTGCCCCAGAACTCAGGGGATATCCCAGCAGCAGGTGACTGATACCTCCACGTCTGCTCAAACAACACTCTTAAAAAGCAAGAGTACCTGATTCCAGCTGTAAGGACTATGCACAGCAACGGACCCTTAACATGTCCCCAGTGTTTTGTCAAGACCAAGGAAAAGAATTTTTTAAGTTACTATTCTGAAGAGTATCACTGTCCTTATTTTCTGTAAAGAAAGCAGGACATACAAGTCCCCACAGAATGAAATTTGCTTAACTGGATGAACTGTCAAAATTTGCTTATTGCAACAATTTCTGCCCTAAGCCCACCTCAAGTGCTCCATTTCCTTTTAAAGGAAGCGGATTCCACGTTATTGAAATATCTATGTCCCATTTTCTTTGTAAAAATGGAAACTTTTCACTGTAATCAATAATATTTGTGATGCAGATCTGACCACAAACTGAGTTTCACATTAGCGCTGCAATTTAGGCTCAAGCCAGAGTTTTCAGAGACAAGTAGGGGGGCTGGGCTCGATGATCTCTCAAGGTCCCTTCCAAACCAAAGCATTCTATGATTCCATGATTCTAAGTTGAATGAAGACTTCTAAATAAGACAGCAAGAGGAGCAAGCTGAAACCAAAGGGGAAGTGACTGGAGCGCAGTTTCTTCTGAAGAGAGATCTAGCTTTTAATGACACTTAAAAAAACTGGTCCATGCATTACCTGACCTTAAACCCAGGCAATGTTTGCTGCTGACTGGGTCAAGTATGCACTACATAAAGGCAGCACATTTTTAAATAAGTGATAGAACATTTTTTAAATGCGCTTCAGTTCCACTCAGTTGGAAGGTCACTGAAATAAAGAAAAATAGCAAAGAGTGCCAGGAAAGGACACCTGGTTAATCGCTACATCTTCTAATTATTCATTCACAGGAGGCAGGAATATGAAATCCTACTACTAACTGGTAAGAAAGCAAGCAACATTCAATACAAATGGCAGACTACAAAAGAGCCTGACTTCAGGCAGTAATCTACTTAACTACTTTGGGTTAAACATTTCATAAGGACACTGTTCTTTACACTTACTCAGCTGCAGCTACTTTTTGCAGTTTTTCCCTTTTCTTTGCAGACCAGTTGAGATCACCACCTGCAACATAAGCAATATACACTTTGAAACTTTCAAAACTGGTCTTTTTGTATTGTGTCTTTGATACCATACCTCACTACCAAAGTTCTCGGAGCACTTGACAAAGGAGATCAGTGGAGTAAGTTTACAAAAGTAAAAACTGAGGTAAAGAGAAAGAGCAACATGTTCATAATCATCCAAGCAAGCAAAATCAGGACCCAAACTAAGCTCTCAAGCCTGATCCAGTTTTCTGTTGAGTAACAATGAAGTTTCTCTACAACTCACCATAATACCCCGTGAAACTAAAGAAAGGGGAAGCAACTTTGAAAGAAACTATTAATATCTCTTCCAGATCTTTCAGTAGTCACTGCTTCAAAAAACAGAACACTGCTATCTGAAGGAAAGCCTACAGAATCAAGTTTTTACATTTGCAGGCACATATACAGTCAAGTTTGATACGCAGTTTAGAAAAAGCTGCAGAATAGCCTAAACATTTGTTCAAGTCAGCTGAAGGGATAGGTACCACTGGCCTGCTGATGAGATTGAACATCACAGCAAGGCTCAGCACATACTACAGCATCTACGAAGATGTTACAAGGACAGGCCTCAGCAAGAGGTGCTCCTGGTACCAAAGCCATGACTATAGCACCTGACACAGGACTGCACAACACCACCTGTAAATGGTGCAGCTTGATCAACTTCAAAAATTGTAACAAATATCAGGAGAAACTTACCTGTGAGGTGATTCACAAAATACAGCATGACTACAGCTATTAGTGACACTAAAAAAAAAAAGGAACAGTTTTAGCTGACAGTAAGTTTACAACAATGACAGAAGAACAGCTTTAACATACAACCAAGCAACAACTAAGATTTTTCATGATAGCTGTAATTGAAGGGAGATTTTTGCCAGCAGCATCTCTTAATTGCTTTTGAAAATTCCACTATGCCCATAAGTAAGATGGTAACTCAGAAAAGGTGATTTTAGGTTTAGTTATATTAATAACAGCCCTCAAACATAGCCTTTAAGAGTAACATTCACCTACCCTTTTACTCCTTTTTTTTCAAAACACTGAAACTACTTACACTAAATTGCTTCAGGAAAACCACAAAACATTTCACTAGGTTTTAGTTACCTTCAACAGGAAACATTAACAAAAAAGCCTAATAAAGCTTCCTGAATGTACAGAATCCATTTTCAATGTTTTTAATACTTACAGCAAACACAAGCACTGAAGAAGACTTCAAGAAACAAGTATCCTCTTGTGTCCAGAATCATCCCAGCTGCTATAGCAATAATTGCCAGACCGAGATTCTGGATAGACTGCATACTAACACATAAACAAAGGATTACCACTGTGTAGAAATTTATTATTTATTATTTATTTAAAGAAACTGACTTCTCCCTGTTTGTTATGACATACGACAGAGTCGTGACTCCACATTTTTGCGGAAGTTTCTGCGCATCTACCACAACCGCATGCTCTATCACATGTATATATATCCTGAAACTACATGAGACTTCCTGCTAGACTGAACTGGGAGGAATTATTAACCATTAATGTGTTAGAACTGCTTGATACTCAGTGGTTCAACAGTATCAGGACACGGTCACTGCAGAGCAGCGTAAGCAGACAGATCTAAGTACTCACAAGCCATAAGCAGTTCCCAGCTGGTGTTCTGGAACAACAAAGGCCACCATGGGCCACAAGGCACAGGCAAGCAATGAGTAGGCCAATCCTAGCAAACACTGGTGAAATAAATAAGAACAAGCAAACAGATGTTAGACAAGATGCATTTTTCCTGTAAAGTTCTAATAAACAAACATATTGGTTCTTCCCTTCTCCCAAAAGGGAAAAGAGCTAAAGTAACACTTTTTGCAACATTGTTCTAAATAAATACGTACATTTAGAAGGAGAGGAAACTTTTTCCAGTAGTGGAAAAATAGAAAACTTTTTCCAGTAGTGACTCACAAACTAAACCCTATCTAATTAGCATTAAGTAAAGAGCCTGACTTGAATACTCAGGGGAAACAATCAATGCTGCAACTCACTAGAAAAATACCTGAAAAACAAGGACCCTGTTTTCGATCCTGATACACTGGTGAGCACCGTATTTAAGCCTGTAAACCTTAGCTCAAAAGCAATTTCTCAGGGAATCTGCCCTAGAAAGGGGAAATTAATAACAAAGATTTTTATTGAGGTTTACCACTATCCAATACAGCATGTTAGAGACAGTTTAAAATCATTGAAACTGGTTTAATTGTATGATAGTAATAAGCTTCAGAACTGCACCAAAATAACAAGTTTTAGGAGAAAAGCAAGCCCCTAGCACAGTAATCTAGTAGTAGCTAGTGGAAGGAGCGTCCGTGAAGCACGAGAGCAGACCTCTGCAACACAGCACCACCGAACCGTGCATACTGTGATGAACGACGGCCTTCTCTGAAGGGACAAGGAATTGCTACTCCATACAGCCCTGCGCTCCAAGCCCATCCTTCCCAAGAAGCTGAACACCCTTTTGCACTGAACAGCTACAGAATTACTGCTACAGACAGCAGCCCATCTTTTCCACCTCAAAACACACAGGCGTAACTACTGCCTCCCCCCACGAAACACCAAAGCCTGAAGACATCTTTAGGCTGCAGAGAGCTCATGGTAGTTTTGCCCGTATTACACATTCTTTGCTTTTTCACCATCTTTAGTTTTAAACTCAGTTTCACATAGTATATCCTTCTTCAAGTCAGGGGTATCAAAATAGGTTTTGAGGACTACCTAAACACTCAGAAGACAGTGGCAACTTACGCGAATAATTCATCCTCAACTCCATTTCTTATTTTACCATATTTAGCTATAAGCCTCAGAGAATTAGTTACCATTGCTATCCAGGGGTTCCAGAAGGTAAAAGCCAACATAATATGAGAAGCAAGTGTAGTTATTACAGCACACAAGACCCAGATGATATTCTTTCCAAGTTTATCCACCAGGAGTCCAAAGACTGGGGACATGGGTGCCGATATGATATACACAATACTACAAGAGAATAAAAATAAGAGAACTGAACACCAGCTAGCCATGGACAGCCTTAGGTGTTACACAATACAAGTGTCTCCAGACAAAACACCATATTCCCTTGTTACCTGTGAGGCCATAAGAAAAACCACCCCCAAAAAAAAAACACCCCAAACAACAGACTCTGGAACTCAAAATTCCAAAAAGGTCTGAGGACATGAAAACATTCAACATCCAAGGAAACAGTGACACACTCGGAGCTCTTGAAATCATACACCAGCAAGTGTTTTGGTGGTGGTTTTTATTTGTTTGGTTTTTTGCCACATCACAAATTCACCTTCAAACTAGGAAAATTTAGTTCATTCAGTGCTATTAAACTGTTTCTATCACTCAGAAGGGAGTCACCAAATACCAAAATAACACGCTTCAGACAGCCTTTTCTTTCCAATTCCTCAATGTGAACATCTAAGACATTTGTCTTGAAACAAATACCCACACCTCCCAATTATTCCTTGGGCTGTGTGAAATCTATCTGTCCATTTAAGTGCAAGTCACCACCTGCAACAGTAGATCCCAAATTCCTCCCACATGGTGAGAGCCCAAAGATACATACATCCCCTCGAGCATGGCAGTAGCACATTTACTTATTAAATCAACCACAATATACCTGTTAATTGCACTTGCTTCTTGAGATGAGAATTTGAATTTCTCAATAAAGAAAACCCTAAAAGGAAAAAAAAAAAAACCACCAAACCCAGATTTAGAAAAATGCACACTTGTAGGACATGAAAGAAAAATTAAGCCAGACAAAGTAAAGACAACCACCTAGTTTACAGGAAACTTTTAAATATAGCTTTGACATAAACATCCCATCACAGATCCTCATTTATAATGCATTTAGGAGCTTATTATCAGACTCTACAAATTTTGTCTAAGGACTATTCAAATTACACTTTGGGGAAAACATCCAAAGTACATAACCAACATGTCTCATTACTGGGTTACATTAGCAATGAAAAAACTGTGAGAGACCAAAGTGAGAATTTTTAGAGTGCATGCACAAGGACAAAATCAGCATCTACATTGCTGACTGTAAGGCCTCTCCCAGCCATCTCAGACTTTTCCATCTCACTCAATATAAAACGTGCATTGAGCTCAAGAGATCTGTTTCAAATGCCAAATATACTCAAAACTCACTTGATCGAGCTATTAGATCAATTCACATGGTTCAAAAGGGAAACCTACAGATGAATACTTCAAGTTTCAACTCGATATATACCAAAGCCAGCATAGTAAGAGAACTTCAGTCTGAAGTTGTAACTACATCTAAGCCCCCACCTTGCATTCAGTCAATAGCTTATGAGTACGGAAGGAATTCTACATAACAGCTGTCCACAGCTTTCCACACCAAAACACACGCCACGCTTTAAATCTCTATCAAGTTTTAATCAGGAAACGGAGCATGCATTACGCTTTTGAGTTCTGACAACTCAGCCTATGCTAAGCAATGGTATTTCCCACAAAGTGCAGCACATAAGGAAACCGTTAAGAGTTGTGTTTATTCGTATCACAAGTATAGCGAACAATGTCACAGAAGAAATGACAAACCACAGTACAGACTTGCTGGGAGACCAGCAGCTCTGTAGCCACCTGGGGTTCTTAAATATTAGCCTGCACCTCTCCCTTTGTAAGTAGCTAGTTAAAACCCCAGCCAAATTCAAGGGGAATAGCTACGTAAGTGAGAGTATAACTTACTTTCCAAGTCCAATGAAAGGAAAAACCGCTGCATAATAACAGACACAGATTACAAATATGAGCCACAAGGACAAAGAGAAGTCCTTCACATCAGTTAGCTTAATCACTTCACCTGGAGTGGGGCAAGAGACAATATTGTTTCAGTCGGCATAAGCACATCTGAAATTCACCCACACTGAATAAACATTAAGGTGATCACAGGTCACTACTAAAGCATATACTCCTGACACCATCTACCCTCTTGTCTGAAGTTTACACAGTGAGAGCTGGTCAAGAATATACAAGCCGTAAATCAACAAGATGTACAAGTTCTCTAAAGCCTCTGAAAGTCTTATGCAGGAGAATTAAATACAAACCACTTTTTCAAGGAAATGTTTAATCAGCTAGCAAAACTCATGTCTGAAGCCTCACGTCATATGCTCTTACTTGGATCTCAAATTGAGTTTATTTTTAATTGGTCTAAGTTCTCCCACACTGAAAACTCAAAACACCACACAAATGGAGAAGAGCTGCATGGTTTTGCACACCTATTAAAGGAAATAAGATCAATTCCAACAAAACAAGTACCAGTGGCAATGGCACAGATCAAATTGGTGTGAACTGGAAGGCTCTCCACATGCTTTATAAATAAAGCAGATGACAGTTCACCTGCCTGTGAACTGGTGTTTAAAACTGTAAAACTTCCTACTGATACAAAAATGAACTAAAAACCACAATTAAAGCTGTAACTGTCAAAAAGACGTTAAGCAGCAGCCACTGAATTAGATAAAATGCAAACCTACACAGCACACCGAGTGACTGGAAGGGGCTGCTCCTGAATGAAGGAACGGAGCCCGAGGCAGGTTCAGCCACAGCACCCGCACCACTCACCCGTTTTCCCTTGCTCTTTACAAAGCAGCTTCTCTGCTCTCTTGTCCAGATAAGCAAGGATTAATGCACAGGTCAGTGAAAAGAGACACGTTACGCCACCTGCAAGAAGGCAACACAACATGTTTAGTTGTTGACTCAAGTAGTAATTTGGTTTTTAAGCACAACTAGCACAGCATACCTTTACATATCGAATACAAACTAAGTTTAACACCAGCTTGCCTTATGTACAAGACTCAGTAGCTCTACAACTCAAAGAGCAAGGTGTAGATACTGAAGCCTGCCACACGAGACATCTGCCTTGAACAAGAGTATGAACATGTAGCTACATTTATTTTATTTAAAACATTACCACCATTCCCACTCAGCACAGCTAAGCTCCTTATCATAATAACAGAAACAAAGCCTGTGCCTTGTTACCAACACCAGGGCCTTAATCCCCATGGCTCTGAAGGAAAGGAGCACAAAGCCAAAGGTATTTGAAATTTCACTTTTACACAGCAGACAACTTCACGCAAGCTTTGACATGACACCCTTCAGAAAATTTTTCAAGTCTGTCCTTTACCCCAAGTATGTTAAATGTTTTGTCTCCATAAGATACAAACCTGAGTTTGGCAACTGCAAAAATCACACAGCATGTTTTCAGGTGCAGTAATCATACACTCTGCGTAAGAATATTAGCCATTAATACAAGCAGTATTTGAATTGCTCTTCCTAGTCTCAAACATGTTCGTCCCACTTTCAAGTTAGTAAGAATCATTAACACCTATGCAAGCTGTTCAAATTCAGAAGCCTAAAATAGCAGGTGACATCAACTCAAAAATATTACTGACCTATCATGAGAGTTAACCCAAGAGTACTGGGACCAGTATACCCCAGAAGATCTCGAACTCTCAAGTATATCCATCCCATGATATTCATGTTCACTGTGCTTCCCTAGGCAGAACAGACACATGTGAAGAATAACGTATTTCACAATTATATGAATTCAAAAGGAACATTTGGCAGACTGCTTATCGAACAGTGTTTAAAACAAACAGGTAAGGTGCTACACAGGGAACATAAATCACCAACAACAATGATGAAATTATTCCCTGCTGGCTTGGTCAGTGTTTGTAATAAATCAACCATTGCAACAATAATATACCGTCACAAACTGAAATTTTATACAACTCTAACAGCGTTTCAATGGAGACATTAGAAGCGCCATAAAATCTACATCACACACTGCATTAGCTCATAAACCGAGCTGAATTTAATACCACATTAAAGCAAACAGTATTGCCACCTGAGGGGCACCAGGAAGAAGCACATTTTTTCCCCCCTTCTCCCCCTAGAGAAGGGATCCATGGCTGCAATCCCAAGGCGAACAACAGACAGTTAACTACAGTTCAGCTGAGATGAGGCAACTGCTAATTAGCAACAGCCTGAACATCAACCCAGACCCAGCTGTGGCCAGCTCACTCTTTTACCCAGGTAAATACCCACAGTGGTTTAAGACACCACAGGCTGCTGAAGAGAACCCCTGGCAGGAGAGGCCTGTCTCCAGTCTCTCCATTCGCAGCCTGGGGTATCAGTGTAAACCCACCTCTAGCAGCAGTTTAAGTGATTACAGCAAACCGAAATGGCACAGCTGAGATGCAGTCACACAGTTCCTGTCAGAACCAGCAACAGGGACAAAACCATCTCACAACAGCAGATAAGGATGGGGGTTCTTAAAGCAGCCATCCCAGCTCATTTATCAAAGCCTGCACTTAGTCCCCGAGCCACAAGCCACACTCAGTTAAGCCAATGTTTTCTGATATGCCAAGAATCAATTAGTCTGACAAAATGCAGCACTGTGACTGTCCCACCCGCTAATCTACACTAATAACACCACCAGGCTTCTCTGGAAGTTTGGCAGGTTCTAAGAAATGTTATTAACCCATTTCCTTGTGTATCCTTTGTTTGTTTACCACAAGTTTTTAACCTTTTAAATTTCACATCCATTTTTAACTAAAACTCCCTAGGGAGCATTAGAAATGCTGTTTTCCACCCATCTCACTCCCAAGAGAAGCCCCACACCTTAGAGTCTATGAATTAAAGCTATACAGTTTTACACTTACAATTCTGGCCATGCTCAGTTGTAATCCAAACACAAGATTTAACTCCTTGCCTTTAAACCAACTGACCGCATATGTGTTTTGTGCCACTGCTAAGGACTCTCCACCTATTCTAAAAAAGAAGGGAGGCACAGAAGAAAACACGTTAATTACAACATGCAAAGCAACAAGGAAGCAATCCATCAGTTGCCGGCAATACCAAGGTGACAGTATTTCAGAGAAATCTATCTGTGTACAGGTCGATCTGATGCGTATGTACAAGGCAATCGAAGTCTTAAAGACAATTCGAAAGAGAATTGCAGTGTCTTAAGAATAATTAAGAGTACAAGGTATCTTAAGTAGTCTAGGAGCAATTATAATTGCCTTTGGTTATTTACAGAAATTAAATCAACGGGCAGCAGCTTCTCATTTTCTTCTGCATTAAAGAACCAAGTGGTATAGATCCTGACCCAAATGAAGCCAAAAGCAGGCACCCTACCTGGAATCAGAATTTAACGGAGTCATGCCCCACCCCCCAATACAGTGGGTCAGATTTTCTAACATTTTTATGCTGTGGCACATTCACAGCTTGGAGGTATTTCTTCTGATATTTGCTCTCATTTTTCGCCACTGTCGGAGCCCTGTTGTATTTGTTGTCGCTAAGAATTCTTTTTACTCAGGAAAGAAAGAATTAACAGAAAAAGAGGACTAACGCAGTTTTATCAACTTACTGAATGTCTTTATTTGGGTAGTTTCATAATTTCTGAATTCAGTAAGACCTGCAAAGTCCTATTTTTTGTTTTCTAACTTCAAGTTAGACTGCAAACGCAACTGAAGATCTTGCATGCCTCAACTTTATAATGCCTCAAAATCCAACAATTTTGTCTCTGAGTATGAAGATGGTAGCAGCTTTCTAGGACACAGGAAGACGGTCCTTACCTCAGACAACACATACTGTACTCTGCTAGACTTACCCAAATATGAATCTGCCCATGTCCATCACCCAGAAAGTATTAAGTAGCGCTCCCAAAGCAAAAATTACCTGCCAAATAAACATTTAAGGAAAAATTCTAATTCTATATTTGAAGTATGGAACAAACTAGAACCATCTCAAAACAGAAACAAAAATGCTTTTCCTTTCCCAGACCTGCAGAAGTACTTGACACCCATTTCCTACTCCTAGCTTTTTGCCTTTCCTCGCTCTGCATCCCTTAATTCATCATCCTGCTGGCTACAGAACATCCAGCCTGGCCCACCCTGCAACTGCACTCAGAAAACACCACTAGAGGCACAAGTCATGCTTTAGCATCAAACCCCACCCAAATACACCTACATAGTGGTTGCACATCAAACAGATAAAACATTTGGTTCCTTCACATTCTCATTTCACTCATCTTTCAAGGTCCTCTGTTCCCAGTTATCCCATCTGTTCCCAACTACCCCAATACAATTCAGGGCTCTCCCATTTCAGTTCTCTTCACCTGCCCACTCCCATCTGAAATACACGCTACTACGCAAGAAGCTGTTCAGGCTTTTTCCCCCACCCCCAGTAGAGAAGCTTCAGAAACATATCAGATCTTACCTGCCCGACACAAACAAAGATACTAAATATTATAGTGCCCAACCTGTAAGAAAAATATCACTTAATGCATAGCTAAAATCTTTTTTTGCTAAAAAACACTATAGTAGACCTACAGCAAGGAAAGAAGGGGAGGTTGATGTGCAATAAACGGTCTCCATAATAAATGCTACAGCTTGACAGCTTCCTTAAAAAAATGTTGTACAATTTGGTGCTTTTGAAGACACTTTAAGCTGTAAAGGGAAGGAAGCTCATTTATACTAGTGGAAATTCCTAAATCATGGGGAAAAAAACTGGAAAAAAACTTACAATTTGAAAAAAATTTGTATTATAAAGCCTATACTTGACATGCACTTTAAGCCTACCATCCATTGAGCATGAGCGACAGTAACACCACACTTACCGTATTCCAAAAACTCTGTCTATCAGAAAACCTCCAAAGAAGCAAAGAACCACATTGGGCCAGGAATACCAGGCATAGAGTGCCATGAACTGAGCTGTGTTCACCTTCATATCCTACATAAAGACAAGGGGAATTAAAAAAAGTCATTACCAGGACACAGAACAAGCACCCAAGTAGAAGCACTTAGAAACAAGTATGCTCTGTGACCTGGCCACCGCCTGTACTTCACAGAATCACAGAATCGTTTAAGTTGGAAAAGACCTTTAAGATCACCCAGTCCAACCATTAACCTAACACTGGCAAGTCCACCACTAAACCAATTAAGGGGAGAGCAATAATTCATTTCACGTTTCCTGCCTTGGTGGCTAGATTAGTTTTTAATGAAAGTAAAACCAGGAATCACTAAGGT